TGGGGGCAGGAGGAGAAGGGGACGACAGAGGATGAGATGGCTGGATGGCATCACCGACTCGATGGACAAGAGTTTGAGTGAACTCCGGGAGTTGGTGATGGACAGGGAGGCCTGGTGTGCTGCGATTCATGGGGTCGCAAAGAGTCAGACACAACTGAACTGAACGCTTTATTTTAATGTATATCACTTTAGCAATAATTAAACCTATATTCATCTATATACTGATAAAAATGTGTTGATATACAACAACCATCAAACTCTTATGACTGTAAAAACACTTGCCTTCACAAAAAAGTGAACAATTTAATCTGATACAGTACTGTAGAAGGCATCAGAAGTCTAGTATTTATCCTTAACTAACTGAAAATACTTAAGCTCTTAATTTGCTTATTAAAGAATGAAAAATCACCTTGAATAAACTAATATTCAATGTCTTTGAATTACTAATATTTTGTGGTTTTTAACATATATAGTTCCCACAATCAGTGACTTAAAAAAAGACTTTTTCCTATAAACCTTAATAAAATATATTGAATAACAGAATTCAGTAGTGTATCAAGTGAGCCTTTTACTATGTGCCATGGTTAACTGTATAATACGTTCTATTTAGTTACAAATGTGAGTCATGCTGCTACTAGATTCTTATGTTTTTTTTCTAATTTTTGAAAATTTGTTTAAATTTCAAGAGTGTGAATAATTATATTTGGATTTAAACATCATCCCTCGATAACAGTCAGAGAACCTTTACAGTTCACTGTCCTGCTCTCTGTTTAGATCAGAACACAGATGTGAATGTACACTCTTTACTGTTAAAGGATTGCAGAAAAATGTAAAAGACAGCCAGAACTTAAACTTATCCTGTCAAAAGAAAGGAAAATATTCTTTGGAAGAACTTCAGTATTGACTTGTAGGGAAAACAGGCACTATGGCATAACAGCAGATAATTACATCTAGATATGAATAGAAAATTACCCCAATACATATTTTCCCATCCCTGGTCTCTGATACCCCTTACTCTCTTCATGCTCCATCAGACAAGAACATCATACTTAGATTTTATAGAGATACATTATACAGACTTGACAATAAAGCTATGTTTTATAAATAAGTTCTGTTCTCATTAGGTATTACAATAGGTAACACTCTAGAAAGTAGAAGAATGTGTTTAAGAAATAACAGAACTTTTAAGAACCATTAAAAATTGAAACGGGATTTTTTTGTTAAAGACCATTGTCTCACTTCCCAGACTTCAGCACTGTCTTCTGATCAAAAGAATTTCTCCAATTTCCAGAAATCTTTGTCTACAATTAATGTTTTCAAAAATTAGTTTTCTCACCTACTTTAATAAAAAAAATGTCTAAAAGTGCTAGAGTAAAACCACTTCAAGTAATATAGTCCCCCGATAAACCTTCCTCAAGAATGTTTCTTTTCTGATTTATTATAGGAACCTCCTATGACACTGGGAAATGAAGAGACTGAGAATAGAAAAAGGAAGCAAAATGTTGTCAATAGTCTCTTAAAACCTAGAAAACAACGAGTGTTCTCTCTAAAAGGTGGCTATAGGTATGTTTAAAAATCTTCTTATTCATGGCAGTAAATGATGGCAATACAGTATGTGAAAAAACAATTGTGCGTTTTTACCTGTTAACACTAAAAAAAATAATTCTAGTTAATAACTTCTAGTCCAGGCTTCCCTGGTGGCTCAGTGGTAAAGAATCCACCTGCCAAGGCGGGAGATGCAGGTTCGATCCCTGGGTCGGGATGATCCTCTGGAGGAGCATACTGCAACCCACTCCAATATTCTTGCCTGGGAAATCCCATGGACAGAGGAGCCTGGTGGACTTCAGCCCACGGGTTCACAAAAGGTTGGACACAACTGAGCGACTAAACAACAAACTTCTAGTCCAAAGCAGTAGCTTTAGGAAATAAAGCTACTTTAGGAAATACGTCCACAAACAAATATTGTCAAAAATAGGCAAACAAAATTATTAGATAAAATTCTTCTATTAATACTACATATAAGAAAATTTTTAGATTGAGGGGAAAGAACTGCACTTTGTTTCCAATACCCCTATGTTAGTGAGAAGAAATCCCGAGTTGTGGCAATACGGAAAGAAAGAAATCAATAAAGCACTACCGAGTAGAATTGCACCTAGATAGCAACTGTACACTGTAAACGCCTCTCATTCATCATCATCTGCTCAAATTAAAGACTCATTTTTAAGGTCTTGAGAACTCACTAAAGCAATGTCACAGTTCGTTTTTTTTTAAATCACATGAAATATGAAGGCAGTCTTGAACATGATTAAAATGCTTAGACCTTTTTTACTTATATAACAATGATGACAAAGCAGTACAAAAAAGAAATACAATTCTAGCAAGAATGTATTATTAGTATTTATCTTAGTGGTCCATAGCAAGTGAGATACACAGTCTTTCAAACCCCATTAACAGGGAGGACTGTAAGAAAAATTCACTTTCCTATATGTCATTTTTCATGTAAATGAATATCTTAAGTATATAAAGATATGACATTTTATGAGATAATTGATTAAACTGGTCTATACATCAAATAACTGACACTAAAAATAACCAAGGAGAAAAGGGAAAAAAACAAGTCATTAGAATCATCTAATCATATGATATTGTATGTAAGAACAACATCATGTCCTAAGGAACTCATGAATTAAACACACTTTTTTGGAAAATCTGAGCTATCACTGTTTATACATAAACTCCAAAAGAAACATAAAACAGGCACTAAAACTAAAATTTAGTAGTTTAACAAGGTAGAAAATCAATATATATGATATGAATGATTATATATTAAGATTCTAAAAGCAGTATTATACCATAAAAATCATAAAAATATTTTGCTATAAATCAAAACAATGTGTGCTGAAAAGCTACAATTCACTAATAAATTTAAGAAGACTTAGATGGAGGAATGTGCAGCGCTCAAGAATGGGAAGACTCAACATTGTTACTATTTCCCTTCTCCTCAGTCTATAAACTCAGCAGTTTATAGATAGTTCCAATCAATATCCCAAAAGGACTGCTTTGTAGAAATCAAAAGCTGACTTCAAAATTTATATAAAAATGAAAAAAGAACCAGGATAGCCAAAAAAGTTTGAAAATGAAGAACAAAACTGGAAGTCTCACACTATCTTATTTCAAGACTTATATAAAGAATAGCAAACAAGATAACAAGGCCATGGAGAAAGAATAGCAGATCCACACATGCTGGCGATTTTGAAAGTGAAGTTGCTCAGTCGTGTCCGACTCTTTGCAACCCCATGGACTATAGCCTACCAGGTTCCTCCGTCCATGGGATTTTCCAGGCAAGAAAACTGGAGTGGGTTGCCATTTCCTTTTCTAGGAGATCTTCCCAACCCAGGAATTGAACATGGGTCTCCTGCATTGTAGGCAGACGCTTTACTGTCTGAGCTACCTGCGAAGTCCAAGATGCAAATGCAATTCAACGGAGAAAGAAGAGTCTTTTCCACAAATGGGGCAGGAATGATTGGATACTGATATACCAAAAACCAAGAGTCCAATCCAAACTGTGGATCATACATGAAAATAAAAATGGGTCACAACGGACCACAGAAAGAAAGTAAAACCTGAAACTAAAACTTCTTAGAGAAAGCACAGGAAACAAAAAAAAAATCTGGACAAGGATTTCTTAATATATCACCAAAGCAAAAGCTGATAAATTGGACTTCATCAAAAATAAGGACTTCTCTGTTCTTTGACGAACACTATTAAGAAAATTAAAAGACAAGCCACAGCAGGGAGAAAATATATTCAAAGGACATTTCTGATAAAATTTTTGCACCCTGAATATATAAAGAACTCTCAAAACTTAAGAGTAACAACCCAGTTTTAAAAATAAGTAAAAGTTCTTGACACCTTACCAAGCACATGAAAAGGTAATCAGTTTCATTATTCAACAGTAACATGCAAAAAAACCCCACAGTTAGAAGCCAGTACATACCGATTAGAATGACTAGAAACAGGAACAAAAAACCCCAGAAAACCTGAGGATAACAAGTGCTAGTGAAAACACAAAGCAACTAGAACTCTCATGCACTGGTGGAGGGAAAGGAAAACACAGACACTCTGGAAAACAGTTTGGTATTTTCTTGTAAAGTCAAACACAGCACCATACAACACAACAGTCCCATTCCTAGGTAGGTATCCAAATGAAGAAAGAAAAAAAAATACCATAATCCTCTGTTTATACTGGCTTAATTCATAACTGCTTCAAGCTGGAACAACTCAAATGCCTCTCAATTGAAGAATGAATGAACAAGCTGAGGCTTATTCATACAGTAGAATACTGCTGCTCAATATGAAGGGCAAGCCACTAAGGTGTTGTTGCTTAGTCGCTCAGTCACGTCTGACTCTTTGCAACCCCAGGGACTATAGCCGGCCAGGCACCTCTGTCTGTGGGATTTTCAGGCAAGAATACTGGAGTGGGTTACCATTTCCTACTCCAGGGGATCAGCCCAGCCCAGGGATCGAACCCACATCTCCTGCACTGGCAGGCAGGTTCTTTACCACTGAGCCACTACGGAAGCCCAAACTACTACTACTAACATGCAAAATCATGGAATAACCTTAAATATGTTACCTAAGTGATTGAAGCCAGGCTCAAAAGGCTATGTACTGTGTGATTCCATTTATATGACATTCTAGAAAGACAAAACTATAGGGACAGAAAACAGATCAGTCGTCACCAGTGGCTGGGAATCGGTTAACTACAAAGGGCTAAGGGGTAACTTTCTCAGGTGATGGAATTGCTCTGTATCTCCACTGTAGTGGCGGCGGCATTACTTTGGCACAACTCATAGAACTGTACACAAAAATGGCTGAGTTTTATTGTATCTAAATTATACATTAATATAAAGAGTGGGCAGGAAAAACACCATAATTGGACAATGAGAAATACTCAATACTAAGTTATTTGATCATGACTAGGTTGAAAAACATGATCTTCCCAAATTTCAACTAGTCCTGGATACTGTTCAAAATTTTACTACTATGAGGCAATATTCTACCATTTAGTAGGTAAAAATAACATTTAAAATAATAGAAAATTGGGAAACTATTGCATATACAAGAAACATGCAAAAATAGGGCATGCATGTTCTCTGTTCTCAAGACCATCTCATTTCATGTATTGAACACATACCTACTGAAAGTAGGAACACATAGTAAAAAATATCATCAACGGAAAAAGTAACACACTATGTCTTAGGGAAAAACTCATGGGCTCTCAGGACAAACAGGCCTAACTTCAAATTTCTTTTATGCAACTTATTTAAATTAGGAATGTCAATTAAATTACCTTAGTTGATTACACAATAAGCAACAGAAAAATGCCAAGCTCTTTGCTGGCTTCTATATATTCAATGAGTCCCTCCTTTCTTTTCTTTCCTCTTTCTCTTCTTTTCTCAAAACCCAAGTTTTCCCAAAAGTTTTAGATTTGAGAATGTAAAGTAACTTCTTTTTAAAAGAATAGTGTTCTTATTAAGAAAACCCATATGAATTAGTCCCACCAGCTTCCCTCTCATTTATATTGCCACATCCCCAACTGGTGATGCACCATGATCTATTATTATCAATGAGTAGTTAGCGTCTCAGGGGTGGCCAGCATCTAGGCGAGTCAGTGATCTGTGAGGCAGGCAGGCTTGAAGAGCTCTGCTTATAAAAAGTGACGGTAATTTGTTTAGCTAGTCAGACTGAATAGTATTTTCAGAACTAAGAGATAACTGGCTCATCAGCAGCAACAGGAAGAGCCAGTACACAAAGACAAGCATTGTGTGAATGATTGTATGCATGCAAAAGGAGGGTGTGTGTGTGTGCAGAGAGATCATATTTGTGGGTGTGGGGAGTGTGTGTGTTGAGAACACATTTACCAGGAAAGGGCCTGTGCAAAATGGCCGGGTAATGAGAGAGAGAAAGAAGCTAGAACCTAGAGCTGCCTTGGTACCCAATAGCTTTCTAGATTCAGTTCTTTATCCTCTTTGTGAGTCCTTATAATAAGACTCCTTTTTTCTTAAAATGGCATATTAAACATGTTTCATTGCCTATTCTACCCTAACCACTTTCAGAAATTTTCTTCTCCGAGATTGTCATCCCTAAGGACTTTGCACAGCTTATTGGTCAAAACGAAGTATCTGAGCCAAAGCCGCTTACTTCAGCCAGACTCTCTCCAGACCAAGTTACTCATACAGACAGACAGTGACTGATTCTCCAGCAAAAGGCAGAGTTAGACTTGTAATCAGCATCTTAGAATATAAAAATTTCATGTAAAATAAGGCTATGAGTTATGAGAAATCAAGAGAAAACTGGACTATTCAAAAGCTCTTTCCAGGTTTCCTGCTCCTTCTAGCATCAAACATCATCTTACAAGAGTCTTACAAGGACAACTATGATGACTGCTGTTTGGAATACAATGGGTGTGCAACTGTAAACTGTATCCCAATTACAGGAATGTTACAATGTAAAACAAAAGTGCATCTTATAAGTGATGAAATAATATTTCAATTTGGTTGAAATAATATTTCTACTTGGTTCATTAACTGTATTCAAAGGGATGCTCTGGTGCTTGAAAGTAGTTCTGGTCTCTTAATTTAGAGTTCTTCTCCCACTCTCTCTCCACACGCATATCCCTATCATGGAAATCAATGCTAGAACCATCTTTCCCGTTGCTGCCAAAGAAACATATGTACACTTTTGTGTTCAATGTCTACTTAAAATTTCAAAAGCACCTGGAAAGAACCAATTCCTATGATTCTCACAGCCTACTTCCAATCAAAGTCAACTGTGCAAAATGATACAATATTATGTACAGTTTTCTTGTGCATCTGCTCCTCTCAATATCCCTTTCCATTCGCAATACTTGATGATTCTTTACGATATAAAAATAAGAGCTGCTTATTACTGTCTTTAGTTTCTTTTAGTTATATACTTCAAAATTTAAAAGTTGGGACTGTTTTTTTCAAACAGTCCAGTAATGTGGCATGGTATCTGAAATTAACCAATTTAAAAAAAAATCTAGACAAAGTCATGTTACCAGAAGTAATGTCTGTTGGTTATCATCCTGTGAGAGCAACTATTAAAAAATTTCTTACATATATAAAGCATAACATAAATAATTTCTAATACCTGTAATAAACTCATAACCTCACATCACAAATACATACGCACAATGACCTGAAGTTTTTAGGATCAAAAGATAATTTTCGAAAAGTCTCACAAGGATTTTCTGAAGCACCAAAATATATAAATAACACAGATGTAGTTTTTGAGTATTGTAAAAATAATTTTCCCATTTTATACATTTGTGGTTCCACAGCATTGTGCACACACTTCTATTATAGATTTATCAAGTCATATTATAATTTGGGTTTTGTCTCTTCATAGACCATAATAAACTCATTGAGAAAAATACACCTCCAATGCACGAGACGTGGGTTTGGTTCCTGGGCCAGGAAGATACCTTAGAATAGGAAATGGCAACCCCTCCAGTATTTTTGCCTAGAAAATTTCAAGGACAGAGGAGCCTGGCAGGCTATCAGTCCATGGGGTCCCAAAGAGTTGGACATGGCTGAGTGACTGACTGAGTACATATCCTCACTGTGCAATCTTCAGTACCTATAACAGTGCTTACCTCAGAGTAGGCACATTATAAGGATTTGATGAATGAAATAAATATCCATTTCATTGCAAATCTTGGTAAAATGATCAAGTAAATTTAGACTAGTAACTCTTAAATTTGTAGCATCTCACACATTCAGAGGAAAAAATGTTTCCAGCCTATATACTCAGCTTTCTTAATCTGGCTAAAAAAGGTTATATGTTCATATTTCTTAGCTTTCATTCTTAAAAAATACTCAACTAAGAATTATACTTCCATGTCATCAATCATTTAGTAGTAAGAACTCACAGGAGAAAATATCAGGCTCCAAGAGAACCATAACAAAAATGAAGATTCCTGGATACATGTATACAGTAACTAAAAAAAATACAGAGATAAAATTTGGGACTATATTTGTTAAAAACAGGCTATGAGTAATATATCTTCATTCAGTTTATTAATCTGGACTCTGATAAACAACTGCAAAATAGCTTTTTATAATATTAATGCAGTATGCATAAAAGGCTCAGATTGTAAACTGAATCCTTATGAGAGTAAGATAATTTTATAGTTTATTCTGAAAATGTGTGTTCTCATTCAAAAGGAAGACAGAAAACAATACAGTTGTCTACATACAAATATCAATACCATTATTAAAATATGAAGCAAGTTTTAAAAAACAGTCCTTAGAATGTATATGCTTTTGTATTTTAAAAAACACACCATTTAAAAATTTCCCTTTGTTCACACGTGACAATTTTTTTTCCTCTACAAATAACAAGCCATTATTTGAAGCTGGGTATTAATCCTGCATGAATGGTCTTACAAAATCTGGCTGTAGAAAAGTCTATGTTAGAAATGTAAACATATGTGTGAAAATATCATAAACAAAGATACACAGAAAAATATAAGAGGAAAGAAGGAAAGAAAGAAAGAGAGGCAAGATCTACCAAAATCTTGCCCAAATATCAAAGTTTTCTGAGGCTCTTCTGAATTAGAGAGGATGGCTGAGAATTCTAAACACGTGTTACTAACCTAGGTCTTAGAATAAAAGAAAGGCAAAAGGGCACCAAAATGCACTGAGTATGTTTAAAAGTACTGAATAAATTTTCCAAAGAAAGAAAGGATTGCTGTATTTTTCATTTTTTTAAAAGATTTTTCTGATGTGGACAATTTTTAAAGTCCTTAATGAATTTGTTATAATATTGCTTCCAGTTTATGTTTTGGTTTTTTGGCCACAAGGCATGTGGGAGCTTAGCTCCCCAACCAAGGATTGAACCCATACCCTCTGCATTAGAAGGTGAAGTCTTAACCCTTGGACCTCCAGGGAAGTCCCTTCATTTTTTTTTTTAAATTGCATATGGTAAAATTCACTCTTTCTTGGTGTAAACTTCTGTGAGTTCTGACAAAAGCACAGTGAGACCACCACCTTAATCAAGACAGAAACAGCTTTATCATCCCCCAATTCCCTCTTACTCTCTCTGTATCCTGCGTCTTATTCCAACCATTAAATTTAGCCTTCCTTGGTTTAGTGAAAACAGTTTAACAAAGGTAGACGGGGGATAACTACTTTTAGTTAAAATCTTAAAAAATATTTGCACAGGAGATACATTTACATCCTAGAAGTAATCCTCCATTACTCCACAATGTCACAAAACAAAATAAAATACACAATTAGAGTGATGACTTTCTCTAAACATCTGATTGCTCTCCAGTGATGGGAACTTCCACTGCTGGTACAGTCACGCCAAATCTACTTTGTTCCACAGAATTAAATCAGTAGTATCCTCACAAAATATCCACAACTAAAGTCAACCTCTACATATAAAAGCAGCAACTAATACAGTAATACTTTAAAAGGCATATCAGACAGCTTTTTGCTGCCAGGGTTTTTTTAAATCCTCTCACAGGTAGAGCAACAGCTGTTACTGAATAGTTCTGGCCACTAGAGAATTTCTTTTAGCACAGTTTGACATCATGGCCTAAATTCAAAGTGACACCAAATTAAAGCTCGTTATGGTAATAATCATGGCAGTGTAAAGCGGTTTAGAAAAACCTGAAATCTGAAACTTCAGATATAATTTCAATTTTATCACTGTTGAGTCTAAGCTAATTTTGAATATTACTTTAAGATAACATTATAATGACTTAAAAATGTTCAAAACCTTGATAAAAAAAGGACATCCTATAAACAGGCAATATATTAACAACAAAGTCTTCCATTTAATTGCTACATTACTCGTCCAGCAGAGGAACACGATGGGGTAAATATCTTTTCAGAGGCTAAATACCTAACTTTAGAGCTTTCATAAGCTTCCAACAATTAATACTGTAAAGTAATTAGCCTCCAACTAATAAAAATAAATGGAAAAAAAAACATAATACACAGAGTGATATTGCAGGGTGGGGGAACAGGAAGGCCAGTCCTCATCCCCACACAACATTAACAAACCCATGCAGACCAGAAAACCTTGAAGAGAACCCCAGAAGCCAGCAAAGAAGATGCAGCACCCTAAAAGAGTACAAAATCAAGAACCGACTACAGCGACATGGTTAAGAAGGGCGATCTCACTGTTCCTGTGTCTCCCCTGACTCAATTCAGCATGGGAAAAAAACTCTCTTTTTGTGTGTGTGATTCCTATTCACACAGGAGAGGGCGAGGGGAATCCTACATTCCGAGACCCTCAGGGTGCTGCCCCAGAGAAACGCTCCTGTTTCCCCTCACCCAGAGCACTACCATTCCCCAGAGGAGAGCTGAGAACAAGGAGGGATGGTAGGGGCGCTCAGCAGTGGCCGGTGCGGACGGCAGCTGCTGGTGTGGAGGGCAGCGGTGGGCATGGCCCGGCAGCAGATGTGGACCGCAGCAGCCAGCCGGGACCTCAGCGGCCTGGGGAGGTTCCCAGCATCTGGGATGGCTACTTGGCTCTGTGGGAAGGAGGGAATGGGGAGAGTAGTGGAATATGCACCTAACATCCCAGCAGCATCTCAGGGCACTGCCCTGGGGAAAAGGTGGCTACCAATAGCTCCATGGGATCGGTTCACTGAGAATTCTCCCCCAGGAGGGAGGGAAGGGAGAAGAATATGCACATACATGAAATGATCTGAAACATTCTCAGAACTTCTAGTGGGGCTGATGGGTGAAAGCCTTTTCTTGGCCAGTGCTAATCCATAAAGACTGGAAGCAGTTCCTCCAAATGTACAGACACCAAATGCAAAGTTTGCAAGACATGTTCATACAAAAAAAATCAGGGAAACACACACTGCCAAAGGGACAGAATCAACATACTCCAAAGTAATGGAGATCCATGAATGGCCTGACCAAAAAAAAAAAAATCATATTTTGGGCTGTGCCACACGACACATAGGATGTTAGCTTCCTGATCATGGATTAAACCCACGCCCCCTGCAATGGAAGTGTGGTGGTGTGTCTTAACCACTGGACCACCAGGGAAGTCCCCCAAACAGTCACCTTAAAGACGTTCAGTGAGATACAAGAAAACACAGATAACTAGATGAAATCAGAAAAATGAAACATGAACAGAATGAGAATATAAACAGAGACAGAGAAACTGTTTAAAAACCACAGAAATTCTGAGGCTGAAGTATAGAGTAAGTGAACTGAAAAATCCATAAGGCAGAAACTTCCATAGATACACAAAAAATACACAAAAAGAATCACCACTGGACCAACAGGGAATTTCCTAATCAGCTTTAAAGAGAAGAGAACCGCCTACTTGTGACAAAACGGACGGAGCTGGAGGACATTACACTAAGTGAGGTCAGTCAGTCACAGAAGGACAAATACTGCATAATTCCAACTACGTGAGAAATCTAAAATAGCCAAGCTTACAGAAGTAGAAAATAGAGTAATAGATGCCAGGTGATGAAGGGAGAGAAGACAGGAAGTTGTTTTATCAAGTTAC